ATGTGTCAGTTCACCTTACAAGGTAGTCCACAGTATCAAGTCCTTGTGCCTTCATGGCGTTGACGACGTTTCCCAGTTGATTCTGCACCTCTTTGATTTTTTTTAGTCCCAATGATTGGGGGCTCTTTTGGAATTGTCATGGAAATGACTCACATGTTCCACGCTTTGATTTTCGCCCTCATCCTCTTGGAAATGAAGGTCTTCACCATGAGAAGAGGGAACTTGAGGAGGAGGTGGAGGTGTCTCATGGTTCTGGTGCAGGGCTGATTAACTCTAATTAATGCATAATAGGTCAATTGTGTTAGTTAAACAAAGTTAAACTAGTAAAAATAAATCAAACTAGCGTTAGTGTGTGAATTAGGGATAATGCACTGATTGTTATTCTTTTTAGGGTTTGTGCGTCAAAGCTACCAACTACTAGGGAGCCAATTGCATCAAAGCTACAAACTACTGGGAAACCAATTATCAAAGATACAAACTATAGGGTGTCAAATATTAAAGCTACAAACTATAGGGTGTCAAATATTAAAGCTACAAACTATAGGGTGCTAATTATCAAAAGTTCAAAACAAAAGGGGATTAAAGTGTATTTCAAGCTCTCCCTTTTTGCCTATAAATACCACCTCTTGGGTCTTGTAAAGATCATATTTTTCTTGTATCATCTTTCTTGTAAAGAGTATCTTTGGTAGTGAAAACGTCTTCCAAAATTTATTATTACTTTCTTGTATCATCTTTCTTGTAAAGAACATCTTTTGATAGTGGGAAACCCTCCAAAAGTCATTATTGCTTTCTAGTATCATTGCTTTCTTAAAAAAAAACACATTTTGGTTGTGAAAAACTCTCCAAAAGTCATTATTGTTTTCTTATTATTGCTTTCTTTTCTTGTATTATTGCTTTCTTTTAATTTACTAATTTTTTTATTTCCATTGTTTTGAGCTTCCTTCTTCCCTTAGAGGAATGAAACTCTTCTACTTTTCTAGAGTTTTACCGAAGCCATGAAGGGTGGAATGTGATTCACTTATTCTTTGTCGAAGATTGGCTCCGTGTGTAATACGTTTTACCTTGCAACTCCTCTACTTGGAGGGATGTGCATCACTTACTTTTCTAGTTTTACCAAAGTCATGAAGAGTGAGTAGTTTCTCACCCAATCTTTAGTAAGAGGTGATGGACATGTATAATTATCCGGAAGTTATATTTGTACATTTTCGTTTATGCTTAGCTCCAACCTTCATTTCTTCATAATGTCTTCTCATTATATTATTGTCTTTACCTTAAACATGAGTAGCTAAGTCTTTAAGTTGACTAATCCAAGGGAGACCTCCTCTTGGGTATACCATTTCAATTCATCTTCTTTCTTCCCCTCAGTGTACGATGGTTTAGTTTGACTGGGTTGAGTGAGGATATGGTGTGAGTCTTTGATATCCCATAGACTTGTCATGGGTTATGCTTGGATCCTCACTTCCATTTCGTCCCTCGCTTCCCACAAATCAATCTTTCATCTATGCACCATTAAAGGAAGGTTTTGAGTTGACTTGGCATTCCCATTAGAGTAAACCTTTCAAATTAGCCAACACTTGTTTCCCATTTCAATTTCATCACAACACAAATCACAAACCAACTTCAAACAACAAAAAATTTTACACTTTTCTTTCATTAAAAGTACCTTCTACACGATTCACCTCCTTCCCTGAGGAGATGACATTGGAATATGGTTTCAAGTAAAACATGACACACAAAGTTTTCTTATACTTGGGAAGCATTTTTGTTCACACACACACACATATTTCATTCCACCATTCCGTTGCCCTTTCTTTTGACATCATTCCAAGGGAGTGTGACACTCCCCTCCACACATAGACTATACACATTGAGGGATGATGTTTAGAGGTTAGGATATACTACAACGGAAATGATCAAGCAAAAGCTCCCCTGTATGGGATGCCCAAGGGGGCACCCAAGTGGAGAGCTCCTTGACGCCTAGGGCGTGGAGCTCCTCTGGCTTGAGGTCCTTCGGGGTATGCTCCTCCTTGTTGTCCTACGAGCATCAGTTGTAAGACTTGCTAATTCTAAGTTATGAGCACCGTTGTTTCCAGCATCTAATGTGCATTCAAAATAGAATTGGTTGGCAGAAGGGCGACCTCCTCCTCTCGTGGTGGATTAGCTTCAGACTAATTCATGGGTCTAGTGGTGATCGCCAAAGGTTAAGCAAGAAAAGTGATTACGTGAGAATTTTATTGATTCCCACAGACGACGCCAAACTGATGATGCATAAATTAGTTTTGCACACCAACTGTCAAGTGACTGATAATTAATGTAGTAACTAAGTAGAGGGATAATAACTCAAGTGAGACAAAGATTTAGAATGGTTTAGTCAACGTGACCTACGTCCACTATGAGGGCTAAGATGACCTAGTATTTTATTACTTCGAGGAGTGTAGGGAAAGTAGGGAGATACAAACTATGAGAGAGAGTGGACAGTGATAACAGATATGGTTGATTGTGTGTCATGCCTCCCAAGTGTTGGCGGGACTTACAGTTTATAGTCACCTCCTAATAGATTAAGGTGGCTTATCAGTAACTAAAAGACTAATTTTGTAGAGCTTACGCCATCTTCTCAACGGATGAAGTAGTTACGACACTCCCCATAGGATCCAGTCAAAGGATGACGTGGTAGTTGACTTCTTTCAAGATGGCGTGGATGAGGCTCATGGATGACCCTGCTTACTCCCTTGGTGATGTAGTTCCTTGAACCTTGATGAACTTGATCGGATGTAGATCTTTTTGGGTTGGACCCACTAGATCTCTTTAAGTCAGGCTCTTAATTTAAACTATGCTCAAAACGTGGGTTAGGCCCTTGGGCCTGACCGCTAAGTATGCGGACATACATTGGTAAATTCATAGTGAGGAAATTATTAAAATTGCCTTCATATGTTAACTCAAAACTATCACAATCAAATAACAACTGAAAAATCAAAAAAAATCAAAAGTCTCTAACAACCCAGAACTACAACTAACTACATATAGTTGTGATCCATATTCCTTATTTGTCTCTCTATAAATTTCTCCTTGACAACTTTTCATATTCCTTCTTCGAAGATTGCAACAAACTCCCTTATACTTGATTTCAAAAATAAGGATCCCTTAAGTGCAAGAAGTTTCACACAATTTCTTGATTTGATCCAATATAATTCTATTGGACGATTTTGCTCCTAACACGCTTTCATGCAATTTCAACCCACCTGTTTTATTATGGCTTTAACAAATCATTGCATTCCAACTTTTGACCTTTTATTATTGATTTCCAAACAAGACCATTACATCTGAAGTTTGACATGGAAAACAAAGGAAGATATAAAGTTAGGATTTTGAATGAGGAAGAAGATTTGTAGATTATTTTGGGAAGATGTGTACAATATATGTGAACTTTAAGATTAATTTGTTAGCTAGGTGGCTAGGGTTACATGTTGAAATCAAGTATTAAACTGCACATTATGAGATTTAAGGTAGTGAAAGGGGATATATTAGGTCCATTGCAAGATAATAGAAGATAAGTAAGAAGAAGAAGAGTCGTAGACATTACACCTAACTTCTCAAAGACATGATCGTGGTTTGAATGCCATCATAAATCCAACATGGCTTTTGAAGCACTACAAATTTGCCTAAATTGGTATTGCACAATATATAGATGCTAAGGTATTCTTAAATATAGTAAGGATTTGGACACCTTATTTGGAAACCTGTTGATTTTTTCTTCATGAATATATAATGTTAAAGTGATACATATGACAAGTAATTGGAAATAAGAGAGAAACTACAAAGTGAGGGAAATCCTTGAGACAAATGAGCCTTGAAATTACAAGGAAACTAAAGAAGGGGGAAAAAGAAAGTGGAGATATAAGGGGGCCTTGAATTCTTTAGAAGAGAGAATAAAAAGGAAGATTAGAAAGATAAGAAGCCTCTAGTACTCCAAGCCTCAAATTATTTAGCCTCGTATTTCACATTTAAAGGCTTACCCTCCATAAAACTCGATGAAACTGTTGAAAGTACAAAAATGCCCTTACCCTCTATGAAACTCAATATACTTTTTTAATATACATAATATTAGAGTTTACTTATAATGACTTATTACCTTTTATTTCTTTTGTTTTGTTTAAAAATGATTGCATCAAAACCTCGCTGTTGGAGAAAACTCATTCTCAAGTTTGTTGTTAACAGGTACACATCATCAAGATGTCGTCAAGAAACTTGATAACATTGTTCGATGCACCCTAAGATTTGTTGTTTGCTTCAAATATGATTCAAAATGGCTGCAATTTCAAAATTTATGAGAATTATTTTTGAAATTTTCTGCAATCTGGGGATATAGTGGTATTTCAAAAAATTGTGGGGTTATTATGGAATATTTGGAAAGCAATGGGGCTTTCCGTAATTTCAAAATTATTTCGGATTTGGGCGGTATGGATCTGGGCTTTTTTCGAGTGAAAGCATGGGTCGGAGGGAAGCTCATACCCAACGGCTGCACGGAGCTTCTGTCCTTCAGATTCCCTCTGGTTCGTCGCATCAACTCCTTACACACGAACAGAACAGCGGCATAAGATGGGTTGCCGTCGACGATAAACGTCGTTGAATACTTCTTCTTCCTCGTTAGTGCTCTGCTCTGGTTGATTTTTTTTTTTTTTTTTTTTGTTTGATCTCTTGTGTGGGGTTCGAAGTTGTGATTGGCTTTATTCTTCTTCACGATGCCGCTGATTTTTGTAAAATTTTGAGTTGATTCGTATCTCACTGTATGTTGTTCTGCATTTGGGAAGACTGAAAAATGAGACATTTACATTCAATTTTCTATTTCAATTATGGTTCTTTCTTTCCATTTATCACATTTTTCTCCTCATTTTTACTTATTTTGATTGAATTTGTTTTGCTTCCGATGTTCATAACTGGCGTTGCATTCTTCATGTAGGAACGATCCTGGTGAAGAATTGGGATATTAACTCGAACACAACATGGTCTCAGAAACCCTACGCATGAGCCGTTTAACAAATGGAGAGTCTGAGAATAATCTTCACAGTCAAAGGGACCAAAATGGTGTAGATTCTGGGGCAGTACTAGAAATGCCTACCAGACATGCATCAGACAGTGGCCACGGGAACATGCAGCCTGATGTAATATCTGTAAACAGAAGATGTGTATGTGTAATTTCAATATTGTTCCGGAACAGTGATTGCATGCTTAAGAATTGGTGATTATCTGTGTCCAATGCGATTTACCTGCAGAAGAAGGCAAGGCGGCAGAAAGACATGACTTTAGAAGATATGTACAATAATCAAGATGGTTTCGACAATGACGATGATGATGACAGTGATTGGGAGCCTTTACGAAATCATCTTGCTGTGGTGACGTGGTATTGTGTCAACTGTACGATGGTTAACGTTGAAGGTGTTGTCCATTGCGATGTATGGTCACATCATTATATTCTTTCTTGATGTTAATATTAGCCATATGTCGTTTGGATATCTTTTCCCCTCCAAGTTTTGCTGAATTATACATTTTAGGAAACGGTTTCCAGAATCCTGACTGGATCTGAACAAATTTTTTGATGGACATGCATGCTTGTCCATGGATAATATGTTGCATCTTGCTCTATGCAGGTTTGTGGAGAGCATAAAGAATCTGGAATTCTTAGGCATGGGTTTTTCGCATCTCCCTTTTCACAAGAAGCAGGTCTTACTCAAAATGAGTTGGAAATAATTGAAAGATCTAAAGGTGGTCGCACATAGTTAACTTCTTGACTGCTTCATATTGCTTAGTTCATTGGCATTGATGTGGGAAGTTTGTTAAGAAATCTTTGGTGTGTGGCTTTATTTGATTCTGAATAAAAGATATAAAATCTGGTAATGTTGGTCTTTTGGGAAGAAACCTAGTCAAGTCTATTTATTTCTTTTATTTGGTCACTCATATTAGTCAAGTCTAGTTATTGCTTCTTCATTCCAAGAATAGGTATGCAAATAAAATTTCACACTGTTTTTTTTGTTGTTTGTATTATTTAAAAGGGTTAAGTACGAAATACCCCCTTGAGCTTTGAGTCTCGTTTTAATCAGCTCCCTTAGGTTTTAATTTCAACTATTTGTCCCTGTCAAGTTTCAAATAGATTTAAAGTAACTGATGAATTAGACATAAACTTTAAAATTACTTTTGTACCCTTAGCCTTTACAGATCTCTATTTTCTTTCCCTTCTCTTTGCCCAATTGATCCAGAAGCTCCAATGCCACCAGCCACCAGCCACAAACCACCACCACCCACCCACCTAGCCACAATCACCCAACCACCTAGCCACTATCATCTAGCCACCAAACACCAACTACCCACCAACCATATGGAAAAGGTAAAATGAGGAGAGAAGAGGCCACCAAAAATTCACCACCACAACCAAATCAAACCATCATCTCCGCTGTAAATACTCCACTTTAACCATCGCCCAAACTCTGACTCCATGTATTCAACACCGAATAGAGCTCCATTTTTGCCCAAACTCCCTTTTGTTTTCATTGGTGTAAATAGATTTGTGCCCTACCTTCAATTCAATGGGAATGCTTATGGTGGTTACTGGTCGTTTTTGTTTGTGTGTGTGTGGCCGCGCCCGCCGAGGGGGGGAGGGGTCGCGGTGAAGTAGCAACAATAGGATGGTGTGGGATTTGGATGGGCTTGTGGTGGTGGGATGAAAGTCATTGCAGGTCGTGGAGGATCACCGTGGTGGGATGATGTGAAGATTGTTGCTGATAGGGTTTGTTGGTTGAAGGCTGTGGGGGTGGTGGTAGGGATTGCATCTTAGGGCGCGGAGGGGAGGGGATTCAAAGACTTCAATAAATGATAAGGCCATAAGGGTCTATGTATTTCCATATTAAGGATATTGTAGTCTCGGCAATAGTAGGTTGACCTGCTTTTATCTTAAAAAAATTGTTGATAATTGTCACTAGTGAAAAATAATGGTTAGAGGTACATAGAGTTTATCTTGTTATCTGCTGCTATCGAGCACAATAGATCTAGACTGTAGTGTATATACAGTATATTTTTGAAAGTTTTCTTCATACACGAAAAGAAATTGGCTTAAATGAGAGAAAGGTTAGTGTGCTAAATTTGTCTAGATTTGTTCAACATGTGAAGCTTGTGGTTATCAGGAAAAAAATAAAATATACTTACACGACCAATTGAGGATTTGCTTTGTTAATTAGTTTAGCAGGGGACCTTTTATCAGGTTGACCTGTCCACCATGAATGGGAGTGGATTTATAGAGAAGGCTTATATTGAAATTCTTACCCTTGAGTTGGTTTTTGAATATGACACTAGGATTAATATCTTTTATGACTGTAATTTGATGATCAAAAGAAGTTGGCAAGAAAGTTGCGTAGAAACAGCTGACAGAGTAGGTCCATTATGCCTAAACATGTTGTGCATGGAATTAGAAGAATACTACTTCATACAATGGTTAGGATTACTAAGACGAAAGTAGTATCATGTGCCTTAGACAATCACTTTCTATGCTTGTGGATAGGGGTACTAACGAACTAAACCAAGCCAAAAACTTAACTGCGCAAGCTCCGATCATCTACTCTTGATCAATATGTGGCTCATACGCGTTACGAGGATCAAAAAAATGGTTGAAGCTGTCTTAGTAAAATTTTGACTAACCTCGGGTTTGACTCTCCTCAACTTGAGGCTTACACCTGTTGAGTCATTGGCCCCATGTGCAAAAGTTGAACAAAGCTTTTTGCAAAACTTCTCTTTGTAAGCAGCCTACCACAAGTTGCTGCCGAAGTTATTTGAATGTGGGATTGAAGTCCCTATTTATGTAGCGCCACTTGCGAGACTTTGTTGTGAAGTTTTCGATATTGGATGCGGTGGAGGGTTTTGCCGTGGTTAGAGATAGGGTGGTAATGTCTCACTTCCAATATGCAGATGATACAATTTTTTTTTCCTCAGGGGATGAAGAAAAATTTTTAAATCTTAAAAAAATTGTGAATGTCTGTGGGCAATGTCAGGACTTATGGCGAACATGATTGAAAATCTGATAGTGGGAATTAATGTTAGTCAAGATAAAATTGCTAGGTTGGCTTGGATTTTTGGGATGTTTTGTAGGTGGGTGGCCTTTGAAATATTTAGGGCTTCCCTTAGGTGGTTACCCTTTTTCTTTGGGGTTTTGGGATCCGGTTGTTTAGAAAATTGGTAAAAGGCTAGATGGTTGGAAAAAATCCATTATATCTAGAGGGAGGAGATTTACTTTAGTATGTTTTCTCCGGCATTCCTATTTATTTCTTGTCCCTTTTCAAAATGCCTGGTTGTGGTGGGGAGAGAGATTGAAGAGTAAGTTAGTGGTGAAGGAAGAAAAGATCATTTAATTAGATGGGATATTGTGTTGAGACCTAGAGTTAAGGGTGGGCTTGCAGTGGATAATTTGAAAGCTAGAAATAAAGCTCTTAATGGAAAATGGATTTGGAAGTTTCCGTTGGAATAAAACTCATTGTGACATTTGGTTACTAGAAGTAAGTATGGTTTGTAGGCTAATAAATGAGATGCTAATGGGATTGGAAGAGATAGTTTTCGAAATTCATGGAAATTCATTACCAAAGGATTACCTTCCTTTTCTCAAAGAGTTAGATTTATTGTGGGTAATGGGGAGAAAATATGGTTTTGGAAAGATTTGTGGATTGAAAGTCATCCTTATCTTGTTTATTTCCTTGGCTTTATAGCCTTTCAAGTTATCATCATGTTCGTATTGCATCAATGGTCAGGTCTTTTTCAGATCCAGTATCGTGGGACTTTGGTTTTTGTAGGAGTCTTAACGATAGGGAAATGTTGAAATTAGTCTCACTTCTTTCTTTGCTTAATAATGTAAATTTATATCAAGAATTAATTGACAAAAGAAGTTGGATCATTGATTCAATGAGTTTATTCTCTTGCAAATCCTACTTTGATTCCTTGGTTGATGATATGAGTCTCCCAATTTTGTATCCATCTTTGAATATATGAAAGGCTAAGGTGCCTTTGAAAGTGCAAATTTGTGCATGGATTATAGATCATGGGAAGATCAACACTAATGATTTGCTTCAGAAAAGAAGATCTCGAACATGACTCTACTCTCAATGGTGTGTTATGTGCAAGAAGGATTGCGAGAATGTGAACCATTTATTTTTGCATTGTCCAATTGTGTTGGCCTTATGGAATAAATTGTTTGAAGTGACGGGGTTTTCTTGGGTGATTCCAAATTCAATTTCAACAATTTTGTGTGTGGATTATAAAGGATTTAGAAGGGAAAGTAAAGGAAGTACTATTTGAGAATGTGCTTTCTTTGCAATTATTTGGGTAATTTGGTTGGAGATAAATTCAAGAATCTTTGAAGATAAATATGAAGAGTTTGATAGGTTTTGGAATCGAATTCTCATTGTAGCAACTTTTTGGGTGCCGGTTTCAAAGGAATTTGTAAGTACACCTTTTTTTGGAATCTTGGCAAATTGGAAGGCGGCTTGTGATTGATTTGTTTGTTATCTTTGTTTTTCCTTTTTTATGTACTGTATTAAGATGGTTTGTATTTTGGCCGGACTAGTTGTCCATCCCTGTTTTACATCTTTTATCTTTTAATAAAATGGTGTCTTCTATAAAAAAAAAACTGTTCCCACCTAATGGTCTTTGTTCTTACTTTGTGTTTCTTCTCTTTTGTTATTGGAAATACATTTTATTCATATATTTCTACATATTAGTATATATAGTTATAAATGAGCTCGATTTGTCTATGTGCCTGACGAGGTGAACAAGACATTTTTCAAGCTCGACTTGTTAATTAAACGATCTTTAAAATTGGGCTCGACCTCTATAATTTTTGTAAATGATTGAGCTTGAATGATCTCTGATACGAGCTATTCCTGAGTTGACAACTCGGTTCATTTGCAGCTCTACCTTTGGAATGACGAACTTTCTTCGAACAAGTTTATTGTCATTTGTTAATCAAAAAATTAAGTCTTCTCTAAGAATTCTAGAAATGCACACTAAACTCACACACACATACTGTCTAGAAATGTTTGGATGCATGGAAAACTTTTGATTAACTATCTTGCCTTTGAGAAAATAGACAAAGACAACACTATGCTTCGAATAAACACCCTTTAATATGTCAAATAGTAAATATCAATCTTGTCTAACTACCTTAATTTATACACAAACACCCTTTAAGAACTCCATTTATAGTATGTCATCCTTTAGTAACTTCATTTAATACACAAATACTATTCCATAAATCCACTGATTATAAATCTCCTCGAAATGCTCCAAAATCCCACAGCTGTGACTTCTTCCTTCCGGCAAAAGTTTATTACTTTTTCCTTCTTTCTTCCCTTTCATAAATTCTTTATTCATAAATAGCATCAGTGACTATAAAGTCAAAAAATAGTAAATAGATCTGATGTTAATTAAATTACAGGTTTTCTATTGGCTACTGATATCCGTTACCAATGGGAACTTATTTCATGTCTTCCATCTTGCTTCGTTTGCAAATAAGCCAATACTAGTATTCAAGTATTTCAGCTCCAAGCCTTGACGATTGCTTTTTTTTTTTTTGTGTTGAGGTTTATCCTACTCGTTTCTCCAGTTTATTTAAGTAGTGGCACATGCATGCTTTGTTTTGTGCACTGAAATGTTCTAGACTAGAAATTACTGCGAACGAAGGAAAATGTTACTTGCAGAATGTAAGTCTCTTTTGAGCCCCATATGCATATCCAAATTGGTTGCC